GAATTGTGTGTATTTTTTTTTTTTATTTTTATTGAGATTCTCAGAATAATTATTCATTTTGAGCGGCAATAAATTATATTAAAACTTGCGATTTGTTTTAGAGATTAGAAATGTTTCTTTTTGTAGTTCATATCAGCAGACAGATGAAATATGAAGACATATTCTTCTCTAAGATAGATGAGCTCCAGGTTATGGCTATGGTTGATAATAAGCTACGTACGTTGTTTTCTTGCTACCTGATGAGAAAGTTTATTATATATTTTATTAGAGCTTTATATTTGATTGTCGTATAACGTGCATTAGCAAGATATTTCTGTATACTAGAATACAAAGTAGAGTCCCCACTCAAAATTATGTTTAACAAAGCTCAAATCAACTCGGCGCTGTTTATTTTCCAATCAGAAGTCCCTTGAAAAATTCGACTCAACAAAAGAACTTTTCCAATTAGCTTTTCAGGTGTGCTTTACTCATTAGCCGAATGCAGTTCGATGAGCAAAAGAAGCACACAATTTTGATCGAGGCATTAGTTAAATGCTAGTTCCATTAGATGTTTGCTCAGCATTCGAGTTGTTCCGATTCTGATCAATGGCTGGGGTCGCATTCCCGCCGTATGTTGGCACATTGGCGCCTAATGGCGTTAATCTGATTAGAATGTTTCGTCGATTCGAGTGAGACTCAGACTGAGACTGAGACGGAGACTGAGTACGAGCTGCTCAGCTGGCCACTTGCGGTACATTTGTTTGCCCAGCTACTTAGCGGGCACGACAAAGAACACGATTCGAACTGCGACTGCAATGGCGACGGCGACGACAAACTGTAACAGTCAACAGTGGCAGCAGTAGCAGCAGCAGCAGCAGCAGCAACTGTTGCCTAGAGTTCGTGTCTTTGCCATTCACCTGTTGCATTCTACTGCGACATAATTATACGGCATTTAAAATCAACTGAATGCAAAAGACGCCCAGTGGGCGTGGCACGGCAGCTGGCAGCGGTCTGCAGGCTACAGGCTACAACCAACTGGCATTGCCTGGCTTTAATATTTAATTAAAATAATTTTAATGACATGTGGTCGGGTCGACTGTTTGCGGGCAGCTAAGCGCATTGCATGCCATTTATGAGATACTTTCACCAAAAAACTAAAGAAATGCAGAAATACGGAAAGAAAGCAAAGCGGACAGAGCTAAGAGAGGAGCAGAACCTTTCACCAGCCGCAGGTCCTGTGACAGCTTCACAGATTCGATTAATATCTCCCTCTCTCTCTCTCTCTCTCTTTGTGCTTGTATCTGTCTGCTTTACATGCCTAATTGCCAGCGCTGCTTTTGTAATTAAATTGCACTGATTATGTGAAAAGAAAGCAAGCGACACGGTCAAAGAAAGTCCAATTAGCGTAGCAGCAGCAGCAGCAGCCGCAGCAAGAGCATCCAGAACTCTGAATCAGAATCAGAATCCAAACTGCAACTGCAACTGCAGCTGGAACTTTTGCTGCTGCTGCAGTTGACTCCCGTTTTGCACAGTTGACAAACGTTCACTACTCTGTCTCTCTCTTTCTCTCTCTCTCTCTCTCTCTGTTTCACTCCCTCTTGGGTCAAGTTGAGCAAGTGCTGTGCCAGATTGGAGCTGTGCAGGCTTTCCCTGTTGTCGCCGTGCCACTTGTTCCAGTTTCCCATGCACCTTAACCCAAAGCCTCAAGAACTCCAGCCCAAGCCCATTTTCGGGAAAAACGTCGTGTAGACACTGCCAGCACTCTTAACAAGCCAGCCAAGCCAGCCAAGCCAAGCCAAACCAACCCGAAGCGAAGCCAGGCTGATCTTTATGAGTTATGCACACATATGACAATGTTTACCGCTTTGTCCAGAAGAAAAGTATGCCAGGCCAAGCAAATATAATGAACAGATACACATATACATATTGTATATATGCATATATACATTTATGCATTTGTCCAGACAAACAGCGTATGGACGAGGCAGAACGTGGCCAAGACAAAACTCTGCAAATGCAGTTCGAGAAACTTTTAGATTGAGATCTCGCGTTGCTCTGCTCTCGGCTCAGCTCAGCTCAGCTCAGCTCAGTTCTCGGTCTGTGCCGTTTGTTGATTTGCATACAAAGTTGCAGCAAAAGTGAAGCCAATGAGTGGTTGTTCACTATGAATCACTTGACCGCCATCGCTTAAATAACTGCACTTGTTCTGCTTTATCTGATTGCATTTTAGCTGAAAATCAAATAGCCTATGGAAGAAGAAGAAGCAGCAGCTGCATAWGAAAGTTGCTCAATTTGCTTTGGCCAATCAAGCAAGTGGGCAAAGATGGGGTGGATAGAAGGGGGTAACATTGATTGATTCAATTGTGATTTATTGATATATTTAGTTATATATATTTATAAAGATATCGAATATATTTTACTCTATTATTTCATTCAATGTCTGACTGGTAGACAAATGATGTCTCCATATATCAAAAATTCATTTTTACATTCACTCAATTCGATTTTCTCTAGCTGACTCAAGCTATGAATCATGACATATTTAATTGTTAACTAAGAGCTAGGCGGATAGCCTTACGGATCTCTAGCCAAGCTAATTTTAATAGTCAATACGCAAGATGGAACCTTCACTTCCACATTCCATATCTCAGCAATGAAATTTGTCAGCTTCTGCTACTTTCTACGTGACTTAAAATTATTCTATGAATCACAGGGCTGAAGAAATTTATGCCAACTGGATTTGAAACTGTGAGCTTGGATATACATACATGCCAAAAAATATAATTGTAACGAAGATTTATCATGATCATGAATCAGACTGCGTGCAAGCCCAGTGGATGGATAGAATTGCTTTCTTCCTTCAATCTGCAATCTTATTTTAGCGAATTCAAAAAAATTAATTTTCAACAAATTTTTATTTCAAGAAAACTTTGGTTCCAAGAAAAGTATATTAATATATACTAATATTTAAAAATGTATATATTTATATATTTAAATATGAAAATAGACTACTTAAATTTATTTATGGACTCGTGAATGTCGCTCTAATAAAATCATCCTCAATCAAATCAGAATTCAGACATAATTTATGTATAGAAATTATACACATTATGAAAATTCTTGGCCATTCTTTTGGGCCACTCAAATCGTAGTTCATTTCCAAATTTAAAAAAAAAAAAAAAAAAAAAAAAAAAAAAAATACCTCTCACTTTTGCCCAGCGCAAATTAAAGTCTTTAACATCGATTTAAAAGCGCCAAATTGTTGTTGGTCAGTGTAAAACACTTTCCATGCCACACAAAAGCCAAGCATTTCATTTCGTTTGACCGCTTTATAAAAAATTATAAGAAAAAGAAACAACTAAAAAAAAAAAAATAAATCTAAAAAACTAAAAAAACGATAGATACAACTGTGTTAATTTGCGCTGTGGGGGAAATGTTTTGACCATTTGTCCAAATTGCGCCAGAAGCCAAATTGCATGCAAATTATGTGGAACAAATGCTTTGGAGACCAGTTTTGCTACTGCCACTTCCTCAAACAATAACAGAGGCAAATGCCATAATAAAATAGAAAAGAAACGACAAGAAAATACAAGAAAGCAAAAAGAAAATTGCGAATTGCGAACGACTTGAATTGCAAGATTGACAAACGACGCCCAAATGCTCGACATCAAATGAAACCGAATTCCAAAATGCAAATGGCTGCAATTAATTAGAAATACCAGGAGGGGGTTCCTCTATATTTTTGTTGTCGTTGTTGTTGTTTTTCCTGCTTCGTTTTTATGGCCATGATTCGCAATGAAAGTTGGCAGCACAAAATTAACATAAATTGAGTTATTAAAGCCACAGGAACGCGACACTAAATGTTGCAGCTCGGTTTGGCTTGACATAGTTTTCATATGATTATTATTACTATTATTATTATTATGATTATTATAAGTTATTCGCAAATGAAATTTTATGCTGATTTTGATGAGAGAACTGTGATGAGTAGCGGGAGCTGGAAGTAAATGCAGCATCAGCTGCGATTCGACTCACAGCATTTTCACACGCGCAAACCGTAATCGAAGTGGGTTACCAGATGCAGTCGTGCCGCATTCGCATGCAACCTGTCACACCGGTGCGCCAGGCCAGCCGACAGAGAGAGAGAGAGAGAGAGAGAGAGAGAGAGGAGGCAGGTTAAATGGCCATGGCATTGCCCCAGCTTATCGATCATTGCTGCACAGAGGCGTCGTCATCAGAGTCAACCGGGGTGGGCTAGCCATTGTTGATACAACTACGAAAAGTGAAAGAGCATTTGGCTGGCTTGCTATGCCACTGCCTTCCATATTGGTGTCAGAGAGAAAGAGCATCTATCTCTCTCTCTCTCGCTCATGCTAGCTACTCGCATTTGGAATGGCTGGGCATAGAGTCAGTGTCAGGGAGTCAGCGAGTCAGCGAGTCAGCAGCCGGGCCAGCGTCAGTGTCAGCGGCGCATTCGTTAAGTATACGCCATGTATGCGCCTCTTAAGTGCAGAGGCCAACCGGTTCCGCCAAATGCCAGCCAATGCAACGCTCAAAATATCTTTGTGAAAAGCCGCCAACGTTTGACTCTTTGCCAGCCAAAAAAGCTAACGATACGATACTTCGTCTGCGGCTATGCGGCTCTGCGCTACTGCGGAAAATTCGTGGCGTCGCTTCGCTTCGCCTGACTTTTCCACTGGTCACAAGTAGCAGTCACAAGTGCTTATCCGTTATAAGTATTTGAGCACTTGTCACGTGTCCGTACCTTTAGAGGAGTCACGCTTTCTGATAGCTCTATTACAGGCACTTCAATCAGCTGCATACATACTATATATGTATCTCTATCATGAGTATTTCTGAAAGTCACTCACACTCGAAATTCTCAACCAGCCATCGGTTTCTTAGCTGCATTTCTTCTTCAAGTACTCGCTTAATTTAGCCAGAGCTTAAGTGAAATAACAGTTACCTGACAGTGATATCATCGAGACTCACTTCAGCAAAGCATTTTCCACAACTACATTGAAAATATATGAAAAATTTAAAGAAATAGAAAAATAGAAAAAAAATATTTATT